ACAGTATCATTCAACAGACGAAAATGGTTATTACCTTAGAAGTGCTGAATTGGCGAGAAATATGAAGAACAGTGATTGTGTAATAATTGCTATACAGACAGTTTTTGTGTGTGGGGACCCCCCCTTCACGCCGCCAGTGCAGGTGTCGGCTGAAATACCAGTGTGTTTCTGGAAGACTTGGATATAGGAAATAGGAGCGCCAAGCCTGCTCAAGCAACGAGGAAATGGAATAATTTAAATTAGGAAGATTTTGACAGCCTGACAAGAAAAACGGGGAAATAATTAGCATGAGCATGTATCGATGTTGATTAATCTCAGTCATGCATGATGTGAGCAATGCACTATGCAAAGAGGTCCTCTGATAAATCAAGTCAACCCGATCTCTTGTGAACAAGCGGAAACAATGACACACATTATTTGCAGTGATATTGGTAAACACAAGAGAAGAATCGGTAGTTTTTATACTCTCCTTTAACTATTTTTGTCTCTGAGCAGAGGAGAGAGGGGGGTTCGACCCCAAACCCCCGGATCTGCGTTTCCGCGCTAAAATTTTGTCAAAATGCTGGATATTTTACTGTCTCATTTTTTACTTCCTGAATCGTTCCTGTCTTAGTTCAGGACAGTAGACTATAGTGAGTACTATAAAAGCCTGAACGCCAATATCTTCAATACGAACGGGTCACAATTTAATCAGAACATCCTTTTATGGACAGTTTTCCTTATTTGAACTATATACAGCGTCAGCACTCTCAAATGTCAGAAAAGCATTGAAAAATTAACCTGTTCACAAGGGTATACTGTTTTCATTGACCCTCCCACAAAAAAGGACGTCAGTAGATTTTTAATAAGAGCAGAAGAATACTCTGGTTAGCCTACAACATGGACAGATAATTCCCTTTTGGTTGGTTTTCCATTTTACCTCAGACCATTCGTTCAAAATCGAAATTTGCCCCATTATGGCTGTAGTATTTAGTTTTATAGTAGGCCTACGTGTACTATCATTGCCTGATATTCTGAAAGCTGCTTTGGATTTTGAACACTTTGTGAATTATTCTTTTTTTTTTTACTGACGGCCAGCTATAGCTTCTTTTGTAGGAGATACACAGCCGCGACGTCAAAAGATCACACCCTATAAAGCAGATGCAAGTAAAATTTACATCATGGACCTGTGAGAAAGTTTGCATAAAATAAATATGGTAACAGAACTGTCAAATTCCATTCAATCAAAACTGAAACTTAAAAAAACTGTGAACAAGTCAGATCACATCAATTTCTCGTTTAATCCGCACGACTCTCGTCATACAACCAAGTAACGGGAAGGTGTTTTAATTCTATAATAATATAGACTGGTCTTAATATACAGAGGAACCTTTACATCTGACCATGGCTACAAGCAACTTCTACAGGGCTGGGTCATCTTCACCAGTCCGCATGGCTTGTTTTCGCAGCAGTCCTGACAAAGACGCTGCTCTTAGTTTCGGTCGACCTTTCCCCATCGGCCTTCCAGGAGCTGGAATCGAGTTCTCTACTTCCCTTCCTGAAGGCTCCGTCGCTGGAGAAGTCGATGGACAGGCCTTCTGGCAGTTGCCCTTCAGCAATAGGAATGCAACAGGGTTATATTACTGCGAAGGAAGGGAGAGAGACCAGACGACTCGGGTGTATGGCGTTATTTACCACATTTACAGTAAGTTTATAGGGTTCTAGTTAGAGGAGGACTTCAGGACAAATGGTTAAAAAAACACCTAGTGGTTTAGTTGAGTGCTTGGTGCAGCTCTTTTCCCTGTCTTTTTCCTCCAATAGCTTATAATATATTTGCTTTCTCAGTCTGATGCTGGTAAAACTTGATCTTTGTAAAAACAATTAACCATACTTGCATGTTGG